AAATGTTGCCATATCTTATAATTCAGTGGGCTTAAATCTGGATCTTGTTTATTCAAACTTTCTTCGATGTTAAAAAAATTCATCCGAAAACAAAATTTCGCGGTATTTTTCCCGCGTACCGCCGTAACAAAGCGCGAGATCTGTCCAACATATTTCAAACGCTCGTTCAAAAAAATGTCCGGTCTTCTTACAATAAGCTCGCAGTCCTCGGTCTTCATTGATCACTCTTTTGACCGTGGTTCTGCTTAGGCCCATCTGAAGAGCTAAGATTTTTTGTTTACGAACAGGATTTCGTTTTATTCGCGCCTTCACTGCTTTGATGATCGCGGGTGTCCTAACTGTACGAGGTTGGCCGGTTCTCTTACGATCTTCGAAGCTTGAATCTTCAGTGAATCATTTGATAGTGGGATAAACAAATCGTAGGGTTATTTTCAATTTTTGAAAAATATTGAAAATCTGTTTTGGCGCGTAACCTTCACTATCTTCTTTCTTCGACCACTCCATATTTGAAAATTAATGAACATTAGTGTCTTTTATATTTTTAGCAAGCGCAAACGTTATATTTTTAAAATTGGTGAAGTTCATGTAGCCAGTGTTCAAAATTTTTAAATAATAAGGTTTTGACAGAACTGATGATCCGACTAAGGATATAAATAAATGATAAATTAGTTATGTTTTAATCCTTCTTCCTGATGGCCAAACCGTACCAGACAACGAAATAATAGCGTCCCAATATGAAATATTTATGTAAAATACCCTTATTGTTTAAGGTCTTAAAACACATAAGAAATACCTCCCTAAGTGGTCACAAAAAAGGTATCCATTTATTTCTATTTTTATAACTGTTTAAAATTATTTCAAATAATAGTTTCAGAACGCACCTAATGACGATTTATTTCGTGTGTGAAAGGACTTGGTATTCAAATACTATAATTATTCACGTTTTAATGAATAGTTGTTAATTCTAATTCAATTCAGTTATACAGTATGTAGACATCAAATCAACTACTATGCTGATTTATTATGTACTGGATTCTTATCATAAAAATAATTATGTAGGTCATAGTAAGCTAAACGTTTTGTTCAATTACATATGTACAACGGAACGTCATTTGTCATCGCTTACTCTGTGGTCATCGATCCGCGCCAGTATTGTTATTTCCGTCTGCTGTTTTGACCTAGGTATTGTTTTACGGACCGATTATTTCACATCTTGGATAATTGTGAGAGACATCATGCAAACTACACAACAAAAACAACTAGGCGTGCGATTGCTATGTGTTAATTGTAACATATGCATTGATAAACTTCGCCACCATCTCGTTTTTGAGCTTGATACAAGAGTAATTTCTAAGATCTGCGAGTGGAATTTTTCAAAAACAGTACGTATTTACATACCTACTTATTTTATTACACTAACATAATTATTGAATCATCATCATAATACAACTCTAATCAAACATACACCATAATACAACTCTAATTCTTATTTTAAATCACTGAAGATTACGTATGTGATGCCTGTCAGCAATTGGCAATACATGTCAACTCCGGGTTACCTAATGAACCTGGTGCCTCATCTTGCCGTGGCTACAAACATATTTGCATACTTTGTGGAAGTTCTCTGAGGACTCGTAAACGGGACCTTGTTGTGAGAGAGAATCCATCTCAGTTGCAACAAGCAATACATGTTGAACTTGAAAATAAAAATACCCCACGGCAGGTAATAATTACCTTTTTATTTTGTACTTTTTTTTGTTTTGCCTTGGTATCAATGTTATAGTGAATTTATCACTGCAATTTTATATTGTTTTGTAAAAATATTATGTATTTGCTCGGGTTTAATAATAACGAGCCAAAACGTTTATGTTAAGACAAGGCTGTATTGTTGTTTCAGGCAACTTCAACAGACCATGTTTGTCATCCCTGTTGGCTGGGACTCAAGCGAGTTGCAACACATAATATGCAGCAGACAGAGCCAGAGCCGGAGCAGGAGCCAGAGCCTCAACCCCAAGAACCTCAAAGCCCACCAAGTACCGACCAGCAAGATGACGAAAACGAAGTACCTCGGGTGATTAGTTTGCCGCAGTATAGACGAGCGGCAAACACTGCAGCACATTGTGTTTTTTTTTGGTTGCCAGAACATAGATTTGCATAGAATTACTAACCCTCTAAGAGCAACAACTCTTAGCAAACACAAATATGACTTGTCTATAAATGCTCGTGTTTGTGTAGAACATACATTTAGTACTGATTGGGATATGTTGTTCAATTTTCAAAATAGTTTGAGAACATTTACGAACAAGTCGAACATGCTCTTTCTTTTATAAATGCTTTCAACACATTTCTTGATTTCTCAAACATGGAAAGTGTTGAAAGAATTGATGAGCATTTGTTTCATTATTGGCTCGGAATGAATAAACAACAATTTGAACTTTTATTATATGAAATACCGCGTCTTATAGAAACAGAGGCATTTTAGATTTAGGTGCTCTTCTAATGAAGATGAGAACTGGTGAATCAGATGACCGGTTATCTCAGTTCTTAATGGTTCCAAGGCGAACATTAGAAAGATTAATGGATAAGGGTAGGGAAATATTTGTACAAGATTTTGGGCCAAGAAATCTGAGAATTGAACACATATCCTGTGAGCAATTGTTGCAACACAATTTAATGATTCCAAATGCAATTTATAATCAAAATAATGAAAATGCGATAATTATATGTGATGGGACATATATTTTTATAAACAAAAGTTCCAATTATATGTTCCAAAAGGATACATATTCCTTATATAAATACAAAAACTTGTTAAAACCATTTTTGCTGGTGACACCTGATGGCTACATTGTAGACTGGGCCAAAAAAGCCCATACAAAGCTACCACAGCTGCTGCAGATATAATGAAGTCTCTTTTCAGAGATGAAAACTCTCCTCTCAGACAATACTTTCAAAATAACGATGTTTTTATTCTAGACAGGGGTTTGGAGATTCAATTAGTTAGTTAGAGACTTGCAGCTACAGAACATATATGCCGGAATCCCTGCTTCAGGGTGAACATCAGCTCACCACTGAGCAAGCTAACAGGAGTCGTTGTGTGACCATATGCCGATGGGTGGTGGAAGTTGTTAACAGGTACTTCAAACGAGACTTTAAAATATTCCGGCATCCGGCAAGATTTTTTAAATAAAACTGTTTCACATATGATGCATACGTTTTCCATAGCTGCAAGCCTTTTATATAAATTCGGTGTTCGATTAAAAAACAGGAATGATGCTGAGCAAATCATAAATGTGATTAGAAAACGATTTCCATTAAATAATAATTTATCCGATTTTATAAACAGTATGAACATGAATAGACGAACATCTGATTTTACTAGTATTACAGCTCATTCCAATACTAATATTATATTCTCCCATCTAGAATATAGTGCAGTTATATTATTTGCCCTAGAAACATATCAGATTCAACAGGCAACGTCCTATTATAGTGAACATATCAGATTTTACGGAGGGTATTGAATCGAAGGACAGTTGGGTGATATGCACATCACACTTATGTGGTTCCTTGAGTGGGCCAGGCATCAGCCGACAATATCGCCAGTGCCAGCATCACTCCTAGATGTTGTAGTTGTAAGATTTTGTAAAAATCAAAATGTACAATAAATTGCCTTTAGAACTATTTATTATACAAGATTTCCATTAAACGCGTTTTGACAAGTTACGAAAACATACTTTTTGAATCACGCTTTTTATAATGTAGAAGAATATATCAAATGTTCATTTTCGACTACTTGAATGTAAAATAATGTAAATGTAGATGCATTTTGATTTGTAATATTTTACCAAGGTTATCCTTGGTAAAATTTTAACGAAATGGCCAATAAATAATAAAAGTAAAAGGTATTTGTTGATTCATCTTTAAAAATATTGTTGACGTTATTATAAAAAATCATGGCAATTTAGGTATTATATTTAAACGTGATTGTGTTTACAACATAGAAACAAACCACTCTAACTATAGTTTGTCTTGGGACATGAAAAAAGTCAAGTCCAGCTGCTATAGACATTTGGCCATGCTCCTTTTAACTGTAATTTACAGAAGGGTTATTCTTGAGTATATCACAGAAAAAAAAACTGACAAAAAGATACTTGTAGTCACAGGACTTGAACCACAGGGTGTCAGTGTAGCGGCGCTGTCGTCGCGCCACAGCGAAGCGTAAATATACTAGCCTAAACACACCGAAGCCTAAATCGCGTTATCAACATTCCGAATCATAAACAGTATATATAGAACATCTCCGAACTATCACACGGAGTGTTGGTCGCTCACCCGGGCAGAACACCTTGCCCGGCGGGAGATCTCCCCTTTTCCTTCCACGGCCACATCAGTTTTTGTGATTTTTTTATCCTTATAATTTGAAATGTACATGACTAAGATTTTTTTTATATTTTTCTAATAAATATCACGACTAGGCCTACTACCCTTTTTTTATAGAATAAGGGTGACAAACGGGCACACAGTCCACCTGATGGTAAGTGGATGCTGTGATCCATAGACATCTACAGTTAACCTTGATTAAGAATCAAAATGCAAATGCGTTGTCACCCCCGAAAACTAAGATGGAATCTCTTGTTTCCAGTAAAACGGGTAACCGGTTCTCTACACTCACCTTACGAAACACAGCAGCATTAAGTTGCTATTTTATGCTGGTATTCTGTGAGAGCGTGGTCCCTCCCCGGTGAAGCCAACCCATTCTTGCTACAACCATAATATAACTGCAGCGTGGCTCTTCCACGTTTCACATTAAGAAGTTAAAAAATAAACGCGATAAAATCCGTAAAATTAGTTTCATTTAATGTGTAGTGTTCACGTAAATTTCAAAAAGTGTTACAAGAGTAAGCTGACTCACCGGGGGAGTGTCTCGATTTTGTTGTTGGATAAATCGAGCAGACGTAGCTCACGCGATTCCGCGAGCAGCTCTGGCGGCAGCTCGGTTAGCTGGCAGCCGCGAAGCACCAGCGAACGCAGATCACGAGCAGCGTGCAGCATCCCACCGGGCAGCGAGACCAGATGCAGCTGCTGCAGCTCCAGCTCGCGCAGGCGAGAACAGCCCGCCAGCCAGCTTGCCGCCAGCACCCGCTCTCCCTGCCTCCCCCCACCCCCGCACTGCCGCTCACGCGCAGCCGTACCAGTGCCTCGCATCTACAAACAGAAACTTTTTTATTCAACATAGATCAGAGATTATCAAACTTATTTCTTTTACTGCCCCTTTTCAAAATCAATTATTTATCAGCGCCCCCAGTTTTTATACACTCCTAAAACTTAAAAACCACATTTTCATTACTTTAATTAATTTAGTTATGGTGTGCTATATCTGTCGGTTCTGGTTTTTAAACTTACATTCTAAACAAGACATTATTACCAATGAGAGCAATTAAAACGCAACTATATAATATTCAGAATATATTTTAATCAAATTAAAAGAAACAATATAGATAGGTAATCAATTTTTGTTTTATAACTAATCTAATAAGAGGGATAATTTTGATGATTTTAACAAGTTTGTTGATATCAGGTTCGATTTTACCCAAAAACAACGATTTGCTCGAGTACTAAAATCAATTAAATAAGAAATTGCAAGGCAAGAACCAATTTATAGACTTAAGGTTGTCTGAAATCATTTTAAACTCAGCTTTCTCTGTTTTATAACTACATGGCAAAGAACGATTTAACTCACTTTCCGCGTTTAAAATCCATGTTACCAGTGAGTGAGAACAAACTACAAGATTTCTGTCAGGCATTGAAAAAACTTCACACAGAATTTGAAACTAGGTTTCAAGATTTTAAAAACATTCAATCATCGATAAATGTTTTCTCGATGCCGTTTAATGTAGATCCGGAAAATGTATCTGCTGAATTGCAGTTAGAAATTATTGAAATGCAGTGCAATACCCATTTAAAATTGTTCTTGAATCCCACAAAACTAGATTTTTATAGAGCACTACCGAAAGCTGAATTCCCAAAGATCATTGCTCACGCCCAGAAAATTATGGCGACATTTGCGTCGTCTTATGTGTGCCAACAAACTTTTTCAGTCATGAAATTGCGGAAAAACTCGATCAGAAACCGATTGAATGATGAACACCTTTTCGCACTGCTGAAAGTTGCTTGGTCAAAACTGGAACCCGGTTTCGAAAATATTATGGAAAATCAAAAACAAATCCATATGTCCCGCACGCCTAACAAGGCAGAGCTTTCGAATAAAAGTTAATTTAATTATTATTTAGAGTAAAAGGTGTTTTGTAATATTTGTGTGTAATGCTGTAATGTTTTTATAATATTATGATTAAAAGCTTTAACACAAAATGCATTTTTTCTATAATTCTGGCTTTCTAGAATTTCTTAAACTTTGTGGCCCGCAACCACTGATCTCAAATTGTATTTTAAATTAAACGAAGTTGCCTGACAGATGCTAATGTCACTTTGTGAAATAATGTTGCCAGGTTCATTGTAATAGTGATGCGTTCAGTCAGTGAGTACACGATAACTTGATGATTATGACTAAAACTAAATTAACCTATCTTGAATGACGTTATGAAACTTGTTGACGAATATTATATCATTGAAATAAACAGAAAAAAATATTTTTAGTAAGAATAATTGTATAGTTTGTAAGGCCACACACTTTCAGGAAGTAGAGTTGTAGTTAGTTGATGAGCACGTGAAAAGGAATGGATCGCCAAAGTTAAAAATTTAATTAAAAGTAAAATAGTTATAAAGTTATAGTGGCAAATCTTTCCTTGAGAAGTTGATGTTTCGAAGGACGGTTGTTGACATACTGCCGATTGTCAGTTTGCAATTAAAAAAGTAAATAAAGCGTTTACTAAATAAAAATGTGTGGTGTAACCTGCCAGAAAAAAAGCAAAGAATTAAAAGTTTTATTTATCAAAGTTGAATGTGACGATGTCCGCCGCCGCTGTCGTCACAGTAGAGGGCGCGGCGTGCAGCTGCGGCGAGGGCGCCTGCTTCGGCGCTGCACGCGTAGCTCGCCGCAGGAAAGACGTCATCCCTTGAGGCTGTAGTTCGATGTCCTTGTCTTGTACTGCCCCCGGCTTGCAGCTTAGTATGTTACGCTTCCGGATGATCCACACCAGACATGCCAGTACAGCAGCTACAAACAAGGTGTAGCAAATAATATATTGGTGGATGTCATGACTTGAAATAGGTGACAATAGTAAATGGTGTTCATGAAGATAGAGTAGTTTCTTCTCGATCTCCTGCATGTCCGTTTGGATCGTTTCGCGTCGACCGCAAGATAAAGAGTTGTGGTAGATCAAGTCGATGACATTGTTCACCGACTAGTTTAGTGTAGGGACCTCGTACTGGCGCTGCATCTGCATGTTAGTGTTGTACTCGTTGTGCGAATAAATAGTTGTATCTTTGGATTGTAAAATACAACCTTGCGCTATAGTTATAATGCTAGACGTCGTCATAGTGTGTGACGTATCACATATTGTACGGTATCACATATTGTGCGCAAAGTGCAAACTCCTCGGCAAATGGCCAGCCAGCTGTTCGGCGAGTGTAACGCGATTGACGCGTCATCACAGGTCGTCTTACTGACGTCACAAGGAGGTTTTACACCGTGACTTAGTAACAACGCCTCGCAAGGTGTGTTTTTGTACTGCAAGTTGTATATTGGCAAATTCTTGTAGCAGACGTAACGGCGCTCCTTTAGCTTAATGCACATTTTAATGACATTTTCAGTTATTGAGATGTAATTATCTATCTGAAAATTCATAGCGATGTATTGTGATTGCACCAATGTTGCCAACATTAAAAGCTAGTTCCCGTTGTAGAGAACACTATAATCCCGTCAAATACGGTAGACAAGTGTTAATCATTCATTGTACTGCACATTTTTCGTATTGTTAAACCAAAAAGATGAAAAAAATTATAATTTAATTTTTGCCATTTCCAAATTATTTTTATTTCAAAAACAAATCTAAAAAAACATAAATTTTTGTTGTACCGTTAAAAATCCGTTAGCCGTTAAACACAATTTTTTCCCGTTGCCATCCTCGCTATCCCGTCAAATCTAACGGGAAACCCGTCAAGTTGGCAACACTGGATTGCACCAGCACTGTAGTAGTTTCTGTTTCCGTCTTCACAGGCAGTGGGATAGCTCTGTAGAGTAAACATTAGTCGTCCGATATGAGTGGCACGTAAACTTTAAATTGATATCCACCCTTGGGTTATTCACAGGTAAGTTTAGCGATTTCTGTAGTCTTCCAGAAATCATGTTTAGTTGCTTCATCAGCTCGACTGGAGAAAGTGAACGTCCATGTGACCTTATCCATCATTATCTCTACAGCTGATTCACTTTGGCGAAGTTTGATTCATAAACCCGTCGATCATGCTGAGTTGTTTGTTGATATTGTCTTCAGTTTTCCTCAAAATCTGATTTTCCAGCCCCACTACAGAAGTTTGATTTTTCACGAGTTCAAGTAAGTAATTCTCTTTGTTTTGTATGGATTCAATATCCTTCTGATATTTCTCCGCAAACTGTTGGTCTAGGATACCAAACAAACTGTTGGCAATGTTGCCGATACCGTTGATTAGGCCTCGTTTCTTTCTCGCTGTTAAATGTTTGAGAGGAGCCAGCAGGATACTGTTGTAGTAATGAAATAGCACCATTTTATGCGATACTTGTTCAGGAGTAGCTTTACAGTATCTCGAATCCGTTCTTACACACAAGTCCGCGAACCCGTGCAGATAAGCTTCAGTTCGTTGTATATTGCTCCGATAGTTAGTTAAATTAGTTTTTTTTTTTTTTTGTAGAAAAAGGGGCAAACGAGCATGCGGCTCACCAGATGTTAAGTGACTACCGCCGCCCAAGATCAACCGCAACACCAGGGGAATTGCAGATGCGTTGCCTGCCCTTTAGAAAGGAGTAAGCTCTTTTCTTGAAGGTCCCCAGGTCGTATTGGTCCGGAAAAATCGCCGGTGGTAAACTATTCCACAGAGAGATCGTACGCGGAAGAAAACTCCTTGTGAAACATACTGTGGTGGACCGCCAAGCTTCCAGATGGTGAGGATGGTATCGGGACGTTTGCCGCGTAGTGCGTTAACGAAATTTGGCGGCTGGGATTAATCCGAACAATTCCTCAGAGCACTCCCCATGGTATATGCGAAAGAAAATGCAGAGATGCAATGTCTCTTCGCAGCGCCAGTGAATCGAGCCGATTTATAGTATAGAAGTAAGGTCCATTCATCGTGTATAATTTGCATTTCGCCAAATGTGTCGTAAATTACGACTCGTAATAGATTAGATCGGCCGTTTGTGTTCGATGCTTGTAATCCGGGCGCTCGATAATACGGCCCCATATGTTTGAGTTATCAACGTAAACATTGCTACGAACATTGTAAACAATGTTGAAAAAGTTTTCATGCCGCAGTTGTTTCTTTTTTCTCGTTTAGTTTTAAGTTCTTGCTCCTTTTCCCCTTCGGATTTTTTATATACCAGTGGGAGCGGTGACAGTTTAGTTATGGGGCGCATGATTACACCAGTTTGCGTTTTTACAGTAGTAACGCGCACTAAACCGTCGGAACCCGGGTGGACTTCCCGTATGCGGCCCAACGTCTATTTTCCCGGCGGCAAGTTGGTTTCTCGAACATGGACAATATCTCCCCTTTCAATGTTCTTACTTGGCTTGTTCCACTTGCAGCGGCTTTGAATTTGAGTTAGGTATTCGTTTACCAGCTTTTTCAAAATTGTTGTAGCATGTTTTCAGTGAATTGCCAGCGACGGCGCAAGTCTAGAGTTCTGACGTCACTGTAATCGGAGAGCGGGAGTGACAAAGTTGGTCCGCCGGTGAGGAAGTGGCCCGGTGTTAGATAATTGTAGAATTCCTCGGGATCCTCGGTAATAGGACACAAGGGTCGCAAGTTCATGCATGCTTCTATTTGGGCCAGTAGCGTTGAAAACTCCTCATAAGTGAGCTTTTGATCTCCCTAAACACGGCGAAGGTGGTATTTGAGTGATTTTACAGCCGCCTCCCAGAGGCCACCTGCTGTTGGCCACGCGGGGGCGTTGAAGTGCCACTCCACTTCCAGTTTGCTGATCTCGTTGAAGAACTCTGGCGATAGAAGTTGCTTAAATTCTTCAAACTCACTGCGCAACACTTTCGCGGTCCCGATGAAGTTAGTGCCGCAGTCGGAGTATACATGTTTGGGGGTGGCGCGGCGTGCGCACATAGGTACGTTGAAATGCGGCTATAAAAGTTTCAGTGCTTAGGTCCGATACAAGTTCGATATGTACGGCCTTTGTTGCCATACATACGAAGATGGCTACATAGACCTTCAAAGTTTTAACCCCTCTCCCTTTGTTAAGTTTGATCTCCACATGCCCAGTGAAGTCTACTCCGGTATGTGTAAACGGTCGGCACGGGGGCGGGGGGTTCTCTGCTGTGGTAAGTCGCTCATAAGTTGATAATCTTCAGTTGGCTTGTAACGATGACACCTGACACAGTGACGTAGTTTGTCCTTGACCGATCGGTTCCCGCCAACAATCCAATAGCGCTGCCGTATATATGATAAAGTTAATCGGGCGCCTCCACGCAGTATGGTTAAATGCGCTTGTTCAATAAGAAGTTGTGTATAGAGCCCATTGCGAGATAAGATGATTTGGATTTTTCATCTCAATCGGTAAAGTCGAGTTGTTGAGGCGATCTCCTACTCGCATTATCCCTTTTTCATCCATATAAGGGTTAAGTTTAAAAATGGCCGACTTGCTTGAAATTGTTTGTTTCTTTTGAAGTAGTTTGTATTTGTTTTCAAATTCATTCCGCTGCACATACTTTATTATAAGTTCATTGGCCGCGCGGAGGTCGGCTTCACTGAGAAAATCGGTGTCCGTTTTCGCATTGTTGCGTAAGATTGTCGCGAAGCGCCGTACCCAGGCCATAATCCTTATCAAACGTGAGCTGCGTTTAATAATTTAATTATGAAGTTGTCTTCTTTCGCTAGGGTTGTTTTTTTAATTTCAGCGATAGTAGTGTTGTAGGAGGCTAAGTTTCTTGGTATCTCTTGTTGGTTAAATTTCCTTAGAAAATCAGGACCTTTCCACCAAAGGTTGAAGTTGATTAGCTTGGACGGGTGTAGACCTCGGGAGGCACAGTCTGCAGGGTTGAGCTCCAATTTTATATAGTCCCAGTTTGCAGCGGGGATGGCTAATGCACTTGCATGGCTGCAGGGAGACGTGTCACGCTGGGAAAGAGACGTCGCGAACCGGATGACAAAGATCAAACAAGCCATCCCCGCTGCAAACTGGAACTATATAAAATCGGAGCTCAACCCTTAAAAGAATGCAAACAAAACGAGCAATTTAAGTCTCCTTAAAAACTTGGACCGAAACTTAATTTCAAGAATAAATTAGACGATTTCACCTTAGCCTGTTAACCAAGCCTAGCTCACCTTCGATCGCGCAATACCAACCTTACGCCCGCCAAGTAGTGATCGAATTAGATCAGAATTATGTAAACATGTCTACCTATGAAAAAACTATTTTTTCGTTTTAAACAAAACCAAAGACACTATGCAATAGATATTAGTATCAAAGACAAAGATATGCTCTTTTATTTTAAACCATAACCTGGCAATGTTTCTTAGAAAAAAAAAAGAAATCACTCTGAACTTCCGGCGTTCCACGTGTCACTTTGTTGAAGGTGCTCCGTCTTTTTTTATAGAATTTTATATTTGTGTCTGGACTAAAAACGAAAGTATCATACTTTTTTATATTCCTTGTAATATAGTGAACACATATATATATATATATATATATATATATATATATATATATATATATATATAAATTTGTGGTATAAAAAGTGAAAAGTAAATTGCCAAAAGTGCTTCAAAATCTGGAAGGCCCATTATGGCGGCTGGGTCATAAATGTGATATTTTTCACATTCTCATTTATTTTTAGTGTAAAATGTAAGTAAAAATAGTTTTCTTACATATTTCAAATAACTTGACGTTGTATTTATTTCAAATTCACACAAAACTATTTTAGAAATATTGTTCTAAATGTCACACAGATAAAATATTATAATTTAATTTTTTTTTAATTTCTTTATATTTTAATATTTTGGTATGAGTAACGAATGGAAACACATAAAACATAAAAATATACATATTTCCAAACAATTTGATATAAATTTCTCCAAAAACAAAAGTGTAGAATTCAAATTAGTAGTAATTTTGTCACTAAAATTGAAGTATATGCTACTACTATGCTATACAGGGTAATTTACGTATTTTATTACAATTTCTAGCAACCAAAAATAATTTTATTCGATAGTTTATACATTCAACAAGAATTCCTGTAAGTTTTATCCATAAATATTGTCTCAAAGTGAAAATATAGCAAAATTTGCAATATAGCAAAAAATTTGCTAACTTACAATTTTCCCGCCAAAAAAGGTCCCGAGTGAACGGGAGTATAACATGGCGCGCGCTCGCTTGGCGAACAGGTTAGCTATAAGGCGAAAAATACACCAATTTTTTATGCAAATTAGCCACCCACCATTGCAAAGGTAACTTTAGTGTTATTGTTTTACATCTTCGCGCGCAGCGCTGTGTGCGTAAAGCTTGTTATAGATACAGTGTGCGTCACGACGACTATCGCATCACTATCACACAAATCAAAGCTGCATATTTACACGCTCACGCACACATAGCGTTTTTTAAGGTTCTATTTGATTTTTTTCTATTGCGTAGACTTTCTTACCCATAAACTGTTTAAATTACAGGTTCTTAAGGTTGTTAATGATGACCCAGATTTACCGAACTTCTCTTGGAGTACCTTGAGGAAAATTTTAAAACACTTAAATTTCAAATACGCCACAAAATCAAGAAAAAGCGTGCATATATATAAATATAGACGCGATATTGTTTTGTGGCGCCAGTGATACCTTCAAAAAATTAAGGATTATCGCAGGGAAGGAAGGTACATTTATTACCAAGATGAAACCTGGATCAACCAAGGTAATTAAAATTTTCTCTGTTTTATTTATCTATTACAGTGTAGATATTGCACGCCACCGGTGAATTTAATGAGTAATTGGTATTTTTCATTTTCTCGAAGGTCATACACCGAAGAAGCAATGGATTGACCAGGTTGTACAATCGTCCCGGCACGCATTCTTAGAAGGGTTATCTGCCAGCTTGAAAGAGCCTTCAGGAAAAGGCAAACGGCTAATTATTAGCCATATGGGCGGGGAAGAAGGATTTGTAGAAGATAGCTTACTTGTGTTTGGAGGCTAAAAAAGGAAAAGAAGATTACCATCAACACATGAATGCCGAGTGTTTTGAGGAGTGGTTTAGTAGGGTTTTGCTTAAACTAAAACCTAATTCCGTAGTGGTGATAGATAATGCCCCTATCACTCCAGAAAGTTAGAATCGCTGCCTACAATGTCTTTGAATAAACCAAGAATACAAGAGTGGATGGCGAGCAAAAATATCCCATTCTTGGCACAAATGGTAAAAGCTACTCTTACAGACATTGTACGGCAGCACAAACACGAACACTGCGATAAGTATGCCGTGGACGAGATGGCAGCGGAGCGTGGAGTCACTGTTTTACGTTTGCCTTCTTACCATTGTGAACCCATTGAGCTGATTTGGGTGCAGGCCACAGGGTATGTTGCAAGAAACAACAAGACCTTCAAAATGAAAGATGTAAAAAGCTTTTCAAAGAAGGACTAAATGAAGTGATCGCCGAATAATGGGGTAGCTGCGTGGCTCACATAGTAAAAGAAGAAGACAAAATATTTAATCTCGACCACATGAGCGATAGTGTCTCAGACGAGTTTATAATAAATGTTACTGACAGTGACAGTGACAGTGATATTATATCTCATGACGATGAATAAAAAAATGTAATACTTAAGCATAGTTTTTTTTTATGAAATCCCTATAACGACATACACTATGGATAATTTTCGCCAGATGAACTGACAACATGGATGTACCTTAAATAAACCTTGACGTAATTTTCATAACCTTCCGTTAAAAAAATATATTTATTTACCATTCAGTCATTTTCTTTATCAGTCACTCATTTTGTTTTCCGTTCAGTCATTTAGTCACAACACTATTTTTGGTCGAGTCGAGAGACTATTTCAGGTCGAGCGCGCTGATGTCAGCCTGTACAGCGCGCGCGCGTACGTTTGTATATACGTACTCGCAAGGCGCCGCGCGGACGCGCCAGCACGAGCAGGTCGAGCGCACTGATGTTGAGCCGCGCGAGCGAACGCGCGTACGGGCCGGCGGGGCGGTACGGGCCGGCGGGCGGCACGCACGCCGTCAGCTCCACGTGCTGCACGCGCACCATGCGCTCGAACCGCGGCATCGATACACTTTCTAGTGTTGCATTCTCCGGACAACTCAAACTCAAGTATTTTTCAGCGTTTAATTCATCTCAGACTTAAGCTTCTGGAGAAGTATAACGTGATCCACACGGTCAAAGGCATTTTGAAAGCCGGTATAGATCAGGTCAACTTTACGTCAATCTTCCATTTCACTAAGAACGTAATTAGTAAAATATGCAAGATTGGAAATAGTGGAACGTTTTTTCATAAAACCATATTGCGTACTCGGAATAAGTCTAATTATTGTAGCATAAATGTTATTAAAAATAAGTCTCTCAAATATTTTAGCTATTGTACTGAGAATAGAAATTGGACGGTAATTAACAATTTTAGTTTTAGAGCCTTTTTTAAAATGGATGCTATTGTTTCTTACAAAAAAACGAAATAACTGATTTTGGTTCAACCAGGTATCCGAACTCGGGACCTAATGATCAGGAATCACGCTTGTGGCCAGTAGATCAACGAGGCAATCGCTACTGATATATAGATATAATATCTATATACAATTTGTATCGCCCACTACTAGTGAGCTACGAGGGCGGCCCCCACTAGATGGAGCGACTACCTGATAAGACATACAGGAAGTCGATGGATACAGGTGGCTCGGGACCGTGCATTCCTAGGGGGAGGCCTATGATCAGCAGTGGACATGTGAAGGGCTGTAATGATGTTGATGACTAATGTCTACTAGTCGTACCCGCCGTTAAACTCCAGCCGCTGCGCCGACCACACGGTGACGTTCTCCAGACTCGTTGACATCGGCACTACGTCCAGCGGTGCCACGAATACAGCATCCCGCAGTGATGCAACGGCACGAAGATCTGGGGCCTGGTGCAGTCGAGGTTCTCGCACCACCACGTGCATCAGCTCTTGCAGTCTGTCCAGTGCCGATCGCGGCAAGCTCACGTTGCAACTGGAGATGCTGAGCCGTCGCAGACCCACCGGCATCTCCATGAGGTCACTGTCGGTGAGCGAGACGCGTTCCAGTCGCAAGTCGAGCAGCGCGTACAGAGACGCGAGCGTGCCGCGCTCGAGCTGTATTGGTTCCGAACCGCGGATGAAGAGGGCGGACACGTTGATACCGTCGAAATGATGCGGCTGTGGAAAGTAGAGTGTCAAAATTTTATTAATATTGAAGACTTCTAGAAGACAGCCGTGTAGTGGCGGTTAAGAATATCCACTACCCCATATCTTCCCGTGGGTGTCGTAAAAGGCGACAGAGGGAAACAGGCAGGAGATGGGCACCAGCATCTTCCTGATAACAGCAACTGTACGACAAAAAAAACTGCGGTTGCCAACCCGCTCGCCAAGCGTGGCAACTATGGCAATATACCCCCCATGAACAATTACACAAAAAGACGGCCCCCAGTCCCCGGCGGCCCCGCTATTCCTGGCTACGGTGGCGACCATGGTAACGGCGGGGCAGAGGGTGCTAAGAATCTCCGGTGAAGGTTCAGTTGCCACCTACGACGACTCGACCTGGCAACATTTAACGCACGCACCCTGAGGACTGACGAGAAGATCCTCGAGCTGGAAGAAGAGATAGACAAGTTGCGCTGGAATATTATAGGATTATCCGAGATCCGAAGAGAGGGGGAGGACACGGTGATTCTCAAATCCGGCAACTTGTTCTATCACCGGGAGGGCGACCATCTGTCCCAAGGAGGTGTCGGATTTATCGTCCACAAGTCTCTCGTCAACAACGTTGTAAAGATTGGGAGTGTGTCGACGAGGGTCGCGTACCTGATACTCAGAATCACCAAACGGTATTCGCTGAAGGTCATACAGGTTCACGCAGCAACCTCGGCACATCCCGATGAGGAGGTGGAGGCAATGTATGAGGATATTTCCAAAGCCATGCATTCCTCCAAAACCCACTACACGGTGTTGATGGGAGACTTCAACGCAAAACTAGGCACAAGAGAAAACGGTGAGCTGAAGTTAGGGAAATTTGGAGTAGGGCAACGGAACCGAAGGGGCCAGCAGCTGGCCGACTTTATGGAGAAAGAGGGACTCTTTATGATAAACTCTTTCTTCCAGAAGCGGCCCCACAGGAAGTGGACCTGGTCGAGCCCCGACGGTTCGACAAAAAATAAGATTGACTTCATTATGACGACCAGACGCCAACTATTCAATGATGTCTCAGTGATCGCAAGGGTGAAAACTGGCAGCTATCACCGAATGGTTAGAGGCACACTGAACCTAAACGTTAAGTTGGAGAGGTCTCGTCTAATGAAGTCAACGCTCCGTCCACCTCGTGCTCTAATCCAGAATCCCGAAAACTTTCAGCTCGAGTTACGTAACCGCTTTCAGTGCCTACAAGATTGCAATGCAGTGGACGATATGAATGACAAGCTCGTGGAAACCGTCCATGCGGTCGGAGCTAAGTTCTGCAAGACCCGCCGCAGAAGAACACAAAAACTCTCCGATCACACTCTTAATCTCATGGCTGTTAGACGGGAGATGAGGCTGCAATCGTCAACAGATTTGACAGCATACAGGCAACTGAACAGACAGGTCTCCAAATGCATGCGGCGAGACTTACGCACTTTAATACAGCTCGTATTAAAGAAGCGATCGAGCGGAACCAGGGCTCCGAAGTCTTTGCCAGAGATCTGTCTGCCAGTAAGAGCCAACTGTCAAAGCTGAAGACTGAGTGTGGCAGCATCGTTTCCGGGACACCTGAGATTTTGAGTGAGATTGAGAGGTTCTATGGGCAGCTGTACACATCATCGTTGGAGCCACACACAAGTGTGAGTAACGATCCAAGAGCAAGTCTTATTCGACACTATTCCGATGATATCCCGGACGTCTGTCTAAGCGAGATTAGAATGGCTCTCCAGCACCTTAAAAACGGCAGGGCGCCAGGCGAGGATGGAATTACAGCGGAGCTTCTGAAAGCGGGTGGAACACCGGTACTTGAAGTCCTTCAGAAGCTCTTCAATTCCGTCCTCCGTGGTGGCACTACTCCAGAGCCGTGGAGCAGAAGTGCGGTGGTCTTGTTCTTTAAGAAAGGCGACAACGCTCTCTTGAAGAACTACAGACCGATTTCCCTTCTGAGCCGCGTCTACCTGCTGTTTTCGAGAGTCATTACGAATCGTCTCGCACGCAGACTCGACGACTTCCAGCCTCCCGAACAAGCCGGTTTCCGAAAAGGCTTCAGTACCATAGACCACATACATACCCTGCGGCAGATTCTACAGAAGACTGAAGAGTACAATCTGCCACTTTGCTGGCGTATATGGACTATGAGAAAGCCTTTGATTCCGTCGAAATTTGGGCGGTGCTACAGTCCCTTCAGCGGTGCCAAGTTGACTGTATGTATATCGAAGTGCTGAATTGTTTGTACAGTAGGGCTACGATGGCTATCCGAGTACAGAACCAGAGCTCGAAACCTATCCAACTGCAGAGAGGTGTAAGACAGGGTGACATTATATCCCCCGAAACTCTTCACCGCTGCATTGGAAGACGTTTTCAAGCTACTGGACTGGAAAGGATACGGTATTAACATCAATGGCGAGTACATCACTCACCTTCGAATTGTCGACGATATAGTCCTTATGGCAGAATCGCTGGAGGACTTAAGCACTATGCTCAATAACCTCAATAGTGCCTCCCAACGGATAGGTCTTAAGATGAACATGGACAAAACAAAAATGTCCATGTCACACCTATGCCGGTAGTTGTTGGGAGCACTATGCTCGAAGTTTTTGACGAGTACGTTTACCTGGGACAAATAGTCCGACTAAGGTAAGTCCAACTTCGACCGCGAGGTCAATCGACGGATTCAACTCGGCTGGGCAGCGTTCGGGAAATTACGACATATCTTCTCGTCAGGTATAACTCAATCTCCAAAAACTAGATTATACAGCCAGTGCGTGTTGCCAGTGATGACTTACGGATCTGAGACGTGGTCCTTCACTGCTGGCCGTATGAGGACGCTCAAGGTCGCTCAGCGAGCTATGGAGAGGGCTATGCTCGGAGTTTCTCTGCGTGATAGACTCAGAAATGAGGATATCCGCAGTAGAACCAGAGTGACCGACATAGCCGAACGGATTAGTAAGCTGAAGTGGCAATGGGCCGGCCATATAGCTCGAAGAACCGATAACCGATGGGGAAGAAAGGTTCTCGAGTGGCAGCCTCGTACCGGTAGGCGTAGTGTAGGGCGACCCCCCACTAGATGGAGTGACGACCTGGTAAGATATGCAGGAAGTCGATGGATGCAGGTGGCTCAGGACCGTGCTTTGGGGCATTACTTGGGGGAGGCCTATGTTCAGCAGTGGACTTGTGAAAGGCTGTAATGATGATGATGATGATGATGATGATGAAGACTTCTATGTATGCTACAACATGTGCTCTGCAGTCTTAATTAGTGCACACTAAGTTACGGCTAGTTCTTCGTAACTTTTTTAAACGACGCGGGCGAGAAGACCAGTTCTTTGTTGTGTAAACCGTGAATGTTGTTTTTGACAATCTAGTACTGTTTATGTAAAAAATGATATTAGAGAGCCATGCTTCAGTTATATTGTGGTTGGATTACGAATGGGTACACTTGACTCGGGAAAGGCCACGCTTTCACAGAATGCCAGATTGAAACAGCAGCTCAATGCTGAGAGTTCAGAACAGGAAACCGTTATTCCGGAAGCGAGGCATTTCATCTTAGCCTAAGGGTTAAAAAAGTATCAGCATTTTGATTATTAATCAAGGATAGGTGTAGATTTGTATGGGTCGCAGCATCCACTTACCATTAGTTGAACTATGTGCTCGATTGTTAAGATTTCTATAAGAAAAAAAAAATCCAAGCGTACTCGCAAAGCGCCGCGCGGACGCGCCAGCACGAGCAGGTCGAGCGCACCGATGTTGAGGCGGTGCAGCGCGCGTAAGTTTGTATATACGTACTCGCAAGGCGCTGCGCGGACGCGCGAGCACGAGCAGGTCGAGCACGCTGTTGTTCAGCCTGTACAGCGCGCGCGCGTACGTTTTTATATACGTACTCGCAAGGCGCCGCACGACGCGCAGGTCGGTCGCAGTACGAGCAGGTCGAGCGCGCTGATGTTCAGCCTGTACAGCGAGCGCGCGTACGTTTGTATATACGTACTCGCAAGGCGCCGCGCGGACGCGCCAGCACGAGCAGGTCTAGCGCACTGATGTTGAGCCGCGCGAGAGCACGCGCGTACGGGCCGGCGGGCGGCACGCATGCCGTCAGCTCCACGTGCTGCACGCGCACCATGCGCTCGAACCGCGGCATCGATACACTTTCTAGTGTTGCATTCTCCGGACAACTCAAACTCAAGTATTTTTCAGCGTAGACTATTTTAAATTTCTTGTCTGTTACATATAAAATAATATTTAACAAAATAAAATTTATGTTGCATTGAATTTCATATGTGTATCCTTTCGAGTCAGATATTTAATCATATGATGATGTGATGTTGGAGGTGATAAGTGAAAGAAAGTTTATTATTTCAAAATAATATTACAATAAACAGATAATATTATTAGGAGGATTGTAATAAGATAGGCTTGGTATTAAGCTTTATTGCACTTCAACTGGTTGTTTGAGGTAGTGCAGTGACAGTGATGGGCATGTGGAAGGGGTCAGAGTATTATTTTCAATGTTGGGAGACCTGGATTTAAACCTGATATCTATGTGTAAAAGATACTGCATCTTTATTTTTATTTTAATGATTTCTTATATTATATGTGAGTAATACATATGGAATAAAACTAATTTTACTGATTTTATTGCATTTAATTTGAATTTTTTTTCATTACCAACATTTCAGGTATGCACGGATTTTTAGATCGGAGCAAAAATTTGTTTTTAATTATTGAAGGTAGCCTTTGTTACGACCATGCTGAAAAGTACCCGAACATCGGGATTTAAAAAGTTAAAATGGTATGAAAAAAATCCATAAAATTAATTTTATTCTATCATTTTCATATTATTTTTATAAAATATAATATAATTTTAGCAGGAATGGGTGATATGATAAGGATATAGAACGACGAGTGAATGCAGGAAATAGAGTAAATGTGGCTCTGCACAACAGGCTGTAATGAATAGATGAATGGATTGAAAAGTCTACTGCTGAGTGTAGGTCCTATGGATTGCCTTAAAGGTGAATATTTTTTGCCATAGTTGTCATGGTAGGGTTGGGAAGATGCTGTTTCCTATCTCCTATTTCAGCTTTCTTCTGTCGCCTCAATCTCAATTGCTTACAACACTTATGAGATTGTATGGCTGAATGGTGATTGATTTTCTTACATAATTAATTTCTTACTTATATAGTTGTAAGAAAGAAGTGCTGATTTACCATATGCTCAGCGGTGAAGGAAAACATCGTCAGGAAACCTGCATGTCTGAGGAATAAGAAAAAAATTATTTCGAAGACATGTGAAGTTCTCCAACATGCATTGGGGCAGCGCGGCGGACATTTCCTTGCCCTAAAACCCTCTCAGAAATGAGGGGAGGCCTGTGCCCAGCAGTGGGAGGAATAACTGTAACTTTACTTTACTTTATATAGTTGATCTTGTATAATTATTCCTATAGAATAAAGATGTTCAAAAAAATAACTGACTGCTTGTGCTAGTACACAGTGTACACAGTTTTTACTTTAGTTGTTAATAGGGAGAAGCTGCTGCCCATCTCCTGATTTGTTTCCCTCTGTCGCTTCTTATACCTATGAGACAGTACAGGCCGTTCAGTTTCATTATTATTAGCACATAATCAATAGAAATGTCAATAAAATTAAAGTTTTTGTCCATAATTTAGAAATAAACCTTATCTGCATGCTATCAAAACATGAATAGCCATGGAACAGCTACAGAATGGTTCAACCAATTGTAATGAAACTTGACAGGCAGATAAAGTGCAATGTCAGAAGTGATCCAGGCTTTATTCTATCCAAATAACTTGGAGAATTTTTTTGAGAAAAGTAAATATGGTTTTTAATTATTTTTTAAATCAAAATAAACCCTTTTGGAATTATCTTGAATTGTATGGCAACCATATGCAAATAATTAAATAAGTTTCTAACATAATGTTTAACCTTTGTGTATATTAAATATAACTCAAATAATTGTACATTAAGTACATATAATAATAGGATTCAAATATATTTCATTATTTATGAATCTATGATGCTTTTACCTGAAAAACTTACTCCCTCTTCATTTATATCATTTGATGATAACCATCATCATCATCATCATCATCACAGCCCTTCACAAGTCCACTGCTGAACATAGGCCTCCCCCAAGGTATGCCACAAAGCACGGTCCTGAGCCACCTGCATCCATCGACTTCCTGCATGTCTTACCAGATTGTCACTCCAACTAGTGGGAGGTCGCCCTACACTTCGCCTACCGGTACGAGGCTGCCACTCGAGAACCTTTTTTCTCCAACGGTTGTCGGTTCTTCGAGCTATATGGCCGGCCCATTGCCACTTCAGCTTACTAATCCCTTAGGCTATGTCGGTCACTCTGGTCCTACTGCGGATATCCTCATTTCTAAGTTTATCACACAGAGAAACTCTGAGCATGGCCCTCTCTATAGCTGATTAGCGACTTTGAGCATCCTCATATGACCAGCAGTGAAGGACCACATCTCGGTTCCGTAGTTCATTACTGGCAACACGCACTGGTTGTACAACTTAGTTTTCAGGTTTTAAGGTATACCATATACCTGACAAGAAGACGTGTCGTAATTTCCCGAATGCTACCCAGCCAAGATGAATCCATCGATTGACGATATTGATAATATATATTCATGATAATAAAGTGCATCAAACTAAGCAATTAATCTGGTAATCTTATCATTATATCAAAACTATCCATAAGTCTCTTAAACATAACCAAGAGCACCTATGTCTGAGGGATAAATGAATATTTTTATTTTTATTTTCACTAAAATCTTCCGGAATATAACTCGAAATAATAAAAAACTGTGGTTGCCAAACTGACATCCAAGTGTGGCATTTACGGCAAAATCCTCCTCATGAGGCTATCTGGGAGGAAATCTATGTTCAACAGTGGATTTTATAGGCTGTATGGCATAGCATGGCAATGGAAAGGCTCAGACATCCCAACCGACACAATCTATACAAAAAATTTTATGATTTGAAGCCCCAATATATGCACATTGTCTTAGGAGTTATACTTCAATACATAGAGGAGATAAAATTGTAAGCGAGCTTAATATAAATATTACCTTCAACAAAATAAAAATGTTCATCAATAACTGAAGCATCGTAACGACATCGTGCAGGAGAAGGTGGACACAGGGGCGTCACTGTCATCCATGGTACAGTCCCATGCATTGCACATAATAAGCAAAACATTAAAAAAAAATATTTCGCCATATTGTTCTTCAATATTCATACTCTAATCATATTTCCTTAAACATAATTTCTGTTTAGTATTATTTCAGCACCAGTAAAATAGAAAATCCAGCTTGACGTTGATTTCACTTTTATACTCGTAACATTTTTCACTTAAATTGTGACCGGCTTTTATCTTCTTAGAACTTTTAACACTTCTATGTACACCAAAATACCACGTTGATGTTGTTGATGAAATACCACAAATAAAACGTTGAGGTATACGTTTAGTGTTTACGATTTATATATGTTTTGTACCCATATTTTCATTTAATAAAAATATTTCGCCTAAGCAATGAGTAAGCTTTAGAGAAAATATGGAAATACAAGAAAATATTATGCAAAATTGCAAAAACAAAAACCAAATGTTTTGTTTATTCTCTGAGTCTATGACTATTGACATAGGGTATGTTCCGAAATACAACGCAGTGTACTGTCCAATGCAAATGACGTATCATTTGACACTTTATTGTACTAGCGCTTTTTTCTGCCAAACGCACCCATTGTGTCGGATATCCGGCCATAATAAAACAATTTTTAATTGTGTGTTTGCCGAATGAAGCATGCCAGAATTTGTTTCTATTTATTCAAATACAAAAAATTATAGAATAATTGATTGTATATCCATTAGGAGGATATAATGATTTTTGGAGCACAAAATGACAAAATAATCGCCAACACTTTTCCAAATGGCGCAAAAGTATGACGTCATATACTCCAATGTTTTGGAACGAATCACCAGTATAGCGACGATTCATGACGTCATTTGCATTGGACAGTACACTGCGTTGTATTTCGGAACATACCCATAATCTGATTGTGTTGTGACTATGTATTTATATATATAGTTGTGACTTTATACTAAATCTATATCTATGGTTGTGACCAGTTGTGACTATAATTTTATATTATTTTTTTTTAATTAATTAATTACATATTGGCGATTTTAACGCCCACCATGCTGAATGGCATGGTTCTCGTTTGACCGTTCATGCGGGTAGATCTGATTATGACTGCTTTGGCATATGGTCTGAAGCAGCTGGTTACCTCACCTACGCGGATCCCAGATGTGGAGGATCATGCACCTTCCCTGTTGGACCTTCTGACCTCTCATCCGAACGGATATCAGGTATCCTTTGATGACACTCTTGCCTCCTCGGACCATTGTCTGATCAGGAGTACGGTGCTCACACTCCCATCGCGGTTGCGTACTGCAGGTTGCCGCCCTGTTTGGCATTATAGATCAGCCGATTGGTACAGGATGCGATCTTTTTTTGCATCCTACCCTTGGAGGCGGGTTTGCTTCTCGCCGGATGATCCCAGCGTTGTCGCTGATGTGGTGCTACAGGGAATGGAACTATTTATTCCATCATCCGTGGTATCTATCGGAGGCAGAACCCAGCCATGGTTTGGTCGCTCATGCAAAATTGCATTACATCATAAGCTGGAGTGATACCAGGCCTGGGCTCACGCATCGACGTCTCGGCATGTAAATACCAGCGTTCTTAAAAAGAAGTATAATTCTGCTTCCAGGTCCTTCAAAAATGTCATTGTCAAGGCAAAGTCAGAGCACATCGGCAGAATTGGCGAGAGACTTGTTCATCTTCCTTCAGGAACACGTGCATTCTGGTCTCTCGCCAAGGCTGTCCAAGGGAACTTCTGCCAGCCATCTCTTCCATCTCTGCACAGGGAGGTTGACTCACTGGCCTACGCCACAGAGGACAAAGCCGATCTACTGGGCTCTCTTTTTGTGTCCAACTCGACTCTTGATGACGGGGGAACACACCGCCGACCATACCGCAGTGTGAGTACTCCATGCAGGATGTGCTGTTTACCCAACGCTTGGTAAGCAGAGCACTCCTCTCCCTGGACATCAACAAGTTGAGAGGGCCTGATGGCGTCTCTCCTATTGTGTTGAAGATTTGTGCTCCGGAGCTGGCACCGGTCCTAACGCGTCTTTTCCTGTACTCCTACTCCCTAGGCGTAGTCCCGAAATTATGGAAGACAGCCTTCGTGCACCCGATCCCTAAAAAAGGTAACCGCTCTGATCCGTCCAACTATAGGCCTATAGCCATTACCTCCTTGTTCTCTAAAATAATGGAATCTAATATTAAAAGCCAGCTCATGATGTAACTTGAGGATCACCAGCTGATTAGTGACCGCCAGTACGGTTTCCGTCGCGGTTGCTAGGCTGGTGGATCTTCTAGGTTACCTACTCATAAATGGGCGAAGGCAGTAGAGTTCATGGGGGAGGTGTTGGCCGAAAGTTTGGACATAGCGAAGGCCTTCGATCGGGTTCGGCACAAAGCGCTTCTTACGAAGCTTCCTTCCTATGGGCTTCCCAAGAAATTGTGCAATTGGATCACTATTTTTTTTTTTTAAGTTGTTTTTTTAAGTATTTTTGGTGGGGGGTGGGGGTGGTGTTGTTTTGGGCCGGGTTAATTCTTCAGTTTCAAGGCACTGCCCTTGTTGCCTCAGCCAGAATCGGAATCCTCGGCGTCGACATATCGAGTGACGTGCAGTTTCGTGGTCACTTGGAAGAGAAGGCCAAATTGGCCCCTAAAAAGCTGGCCGTGCTCAGCAGAGCGGGACAGTATTTCATGCCGGCTCACCGCCTGCAACTTTACAAGGCGCAGGTTCGGCCGCACATGGAATACTGTTCCCATCTCTGCCGAGGCTCCCCAGTGCCAGCTGCTTCCATTTGGTCGTAGACCGAGCTCTTTCCGATCGGCCTGACTCACTGGCACTGCGAAGATATGTTGCATCTCTTTGCGTATTTTATCGTATCTACCACGGGGAGTGCTCTGAGAAATTGTTCGGACAAATTCCAGCCGCACAGTTTCACCATCGCACATCGCGACAAAACTCGCGATACCATCCATACCAACTGGATGACTGGCGGTCAAACACTAAGCGATTTAAAAGAAGTTTTCTTCCTCGCACAAGTTCCTTATGAAATCAACTAACACCAGAGATTTTTCCGGACCGATATGACTTAGGGACCTGCAAGAAAAGAGCCTATTCCTTTTTAAAAGGCCGACAACACATCTGCAATCCACCTTGGTGTTGTAGCTATTCAGGGGCGACGTTTGCCCCCTTTCCTATAAAAAAAACACAGTCTGTACTCCTTACCTCTACACTCCATAGTCACACACACACCGTACGTCAATAGGCGTATAATTATGGAGTGTTACCTCTACACTCCTGTTTTGTCGCTCGAATAATGGCTGGAAGTGGATTTTGATTGGTAAAAGTGATGCGATTTTGTGAATTAAGTGTCCGCGACTAACTAACTGACTAACTATTAAAACGACGAAACAAGTGCTTTGGTATCGATATAAACCAAGTTATTTTAATCGCTTGTGCGCCTTATGAGCACGAGAGCACGTGAGGCTGTCATCATCAACTGTCCGCTGGGTTGAGCTGTCGTCAAATTTTCCCAAGGGCTTCGCAATGTGACGCATCAGCATATTGTGAAGATAAAATATAAAATTGAAGATTCTGAAATAAATGATTGACTCAGAAGGACTAGAACCCCGAGCCATAAAGCCAGTTAATAAAAAAATACTTCTATGCGTACGTCATAACCCGTAGACAAAGAAACTATAAGAAACCTATGAAAAAAAACTATAACTAATTAAATAATATATAATTAATTAATTTAAAAAAAATAATATTAAATTATAGTCACAACTGGGTCACAACCATAGATATAGATTTAGTATAAAGTCACAACTTTATATTTATATATATATATATATATATGTTGGCGACGCGCCTATAAGAATATTTCAGTTTATTAAGTCAACCGATGACGAATAGCTTCTAAAAGGCAAATTGTCCAATAGCAATGTTCTAATAAGAAAATGCTTAGTTAAATCTTAAAGAATGTCGAATTAATGATATGAAGGTCTTGGGTTCGACTCCCAGGCCGGACTAGTTTATTGTTTTCTCAAGTAATATCTCTTAATAAATTCATATAGGGAATTTTAAGATACAAATTATGCTACCGGATTTGTTCCCCGGTTGAAATCATCTTTCCAATGATGTAAATTCAAAGGAATATTAAAGTGAAGTTAGAGATCGGATTTGTTCCCCGGTCGAGATGATCACTCTGTGCATAAATAGAATTAACGGAAATTAATTGCATAAGTATTGCCTTATATGAGTTTGATATGTTTTGTATGAAAATAAATGCCTATTTGATATGATTGATTTATGAGAACATTCACTTATATTGTTATCTGATAAGAAACATGATAACTGATAAGAATCTGATTAGAAATAATTTCCTACAGTTTGAAAATTGTGTAGAAGCATTTATTCACCTAATACTGTCGATATTGGTGTATCGACTTTTAATTTTTTCTGATAGTCGAGAGCCGTGCAAAGTTAGTTGTTCAAATAGTGTGAGTTCACGGACGCACGCTAGCCACGCCCTTAGGAGGCCAAATATGTAAAAATTTAAATATTTGTAATTTCAGCAATTTATGTAAAAATGACTTGTAAAACATTTCAGGTTGATTGTACATGCTAAAAAGGTGAATTCTGTGTTATTTTTATGTGAAAATTCCTGTGTATAAGTGAAATAATGATAGTTTTGTATAAGAAATTTAAAAGTGTTTTAATAGTGAAATGAATAGAGAAAATGTAAATTAAACTGTTGTATTGGTTAACTTATGTATAATTTCAAGTGGAAAACATTGTTTTAACTTTCTATGTTAAATATTTAAGAAATTTCGACTTTGAACTTGTGAGTAAAATAGGCATATTTTGTTAAATAAATAAAAGGTTTTTTGTGATATGAAAATGTAATGTATATCGTAGTGTAGATATTGTTTTGTGCTATCTATACAGGTAAATTATGTTGATGTATGACTTATGCAAATAAAGTAATTAAGTAAAACGTGAGAGAGTTATAACAAATTCATGTAATTGAGTTGCGCAAGCGCGCGAATGGCGCGGCTCACTTTCGCGTATTGCTCTGGGGTAGCTCAGTAAATGAGTTTTATTGCAATTCGTTCGGGAATCCTTCGGGAAAAAAGTTCGGGAATCCTTCGGGAAAGTTCGGGGAAGTTCGGAGAAACTTCGGGAAAAGTGCAAGACAATAAGAAGAAGAAAGAAAAAGTGTAGAGAAGTGATAGGGATAAGTAATTACTCTCTCACGGAACGGTTTGAAGATAATTGCTGTTTTATTCCCAAGAAATTCATCCCTCAAAATTATACAGTGGTTGCGCGGAAAACCATTCGTATTTATTTAATTTGACGGTAGGCTGCCAAATCGGTTATCCCTTTCCAAAACGATATCATTCATACCCTCCTATCGACACATCGGGGTGGTGGGGTGGGAGGGAAAAGAAGATGATTCTAGAATATCACGTAATCATCGCAACCGAAGATAAAAGGCACGCGCGACCGACGCGCGCCCTCTTCCCGCCACGCTCGTCGTTGAAACCACACCGCTTCTCTCCCGACGTACCTCTGGGGCCCCAGAGTGTCTGTCCAGAAGAAGTTCCAGAGGTCGCAGCTATAGTGCTCAACAGCATAGAAGACTGAACCCCGGTGAGTCAATATTCCTAATAATATATCCTGCTTGATATAACTGTGTTTAACCCGCTCCAATTTTGTTTTCTCCTAATCAAGCAGGATTCCTTTCATCGATTTGGCAAATAATAGTTCGTTTTTAGGGAAGAGCGAGTGCATTGTACCGCATGCTATAGTTGCCGTTTATATAAGTGTAGAAACATTTTGTAGATACAGTCCACTTAGATTAATAGCTCACGTAATAGGTCTTAAGGTTCGACCGGGGAATTAGACTTCGGCAACCTTAGGCTCGACGCTCCACCGTTTTATGGTCACTTCGGCAGGATTTGGACTGGTGTTTAGTAGTCGTTCAACCATTTTCTGGTCGAATTATTAGATTAATTATTTAGATAATGCACTCTAGTTTATGGAATAGTCTTAAATAGTGTTCGTTTAAATTTAAATTTTGGTTAGGTACTCGCAAACAGAATTATTCATTTAAATAGAGTTTGTAATTGGTTTAAATTTAAAGCTTAAATAATTGAAACAGTGTAATAGCAATCGTTTTGTACGCTTACCCGACAATGTGATAAAAATATATCGAGTCTAGCGAGACTCGATCGAGTCGCTCGACTCGCTGTAACAGGTGTTCGATTTAATTACGTAATACGGCAAACGAGTGTCCATCCTTCATTATTTGTGCGTTGTGAGATTAATTGTGGTTAATATAACTTTATTACAATAATTTAAAATGGCAGTTAGTGGAAATGAAATTAAAATTAAAACGCTTTATGCCAAGAGGGACATACTTTTTTCACGTATTCAAAGTATTAGTGATCACATAAAGAACATCAATGTAGAAGCAGTGCGGGAAACTTTTTTGAATGAAATTGAAACGGTGGATTCTTTGCGGACGGATTACGAAAGAATATTAGACCAAATTAATCATTTGGAATTACAAATTGACCCGAAATACATAGTGAACTACCAACCGCTTCTAGCATTTGAAGATATGTTGTGTCGCGTGAAAAGAACGGAGAAACTCTTACAATCTCAAAACGAAGCAAAGCCGGAAATACAGGTACGTCCACGTGACTCAATTAGGTTGCCGCCAATAGATATTCCGGTATTCAATGGTGATATTAAGACATGGCCCTTCTTCTTCAGTAGTTTTCAAAACAATATACACAATAACCCATCGTTATCGGACGCTGAAAAATTATATTATTTAATTAGTAAACTTAGTGGTAGAGCACAGTCAATTTGCTCGGGTTTTACACCTACAGCAAACAATTACTTGTTAATATTCGAAACGCTTAAAACTAAATATGAAGATAGGAGAATGTTAGCTTCCGAATATTTGAACCAGATATTCGATCTTAAACCTATATCATCCGCGAACATCAACGGCTTAGAGCAGTTTTTAGATAAATTTGTGGCATCGGTGGCTGCACTTAAGAATTTGAAATTTAATGACCTTATGGACGTGGTGTTTCTCCATATTGCACTGAAGAAATTAGACCCCGACACCGTGCGTGCGTTTGAAATGGAGCATCGTAGCTCGGAGATGCCTTCCTTTCATTCATTAGCATCGTTCGTGCGAGATCAAATAAAGGTGATGCAGCACTCTCCGAACGTTAAACAGGAGATTAAAAGGTGCGTCGACCGTAGACAGACTCAACCATCTAAAATAGCAGGGTTGTTATCGTACGTAACCGCTACGTAAACATCACTTCAGCCTGCTTGTATCGTATGTAAAGATAAACACGGTAATTTATATAATTGTGCGACTTTTCGTAAATATTCACCAAGCGAATGTTATAAATTAGCAAAGACAAACAACCTATGTCTGAACTGCTTAAGTGATAAGCATTTAGTTGCAAAATGCAATTCGAGTTCCGTATGTAGCAAGTACGCCAGGAAACATCACACGCTATTACATTTTGAAAATAGCAACATAGCGGCGTCAAGTAAAGCGGACAAGGAATTCACCCCTACTAAAGTCAACGATTCTAGCGGTCGACCTGGTGATGTCGCTCTGTGCTCATTGGCGAATATGGGAGCACAACCTCCTTCAACCATATTACTGGGTACGGCGCGTATTTTGGTTAGGGATTCGCGTGGAAACGAACAAAGCGTCCGTGCACTGCTGGACAGCGGAGCCCAAAATGCAACAATGTTGTCAGCGCTTAGGCTAAGTAATAAATAGGTCACTTTCATGTCCTGTAGTCAAAGGCATCGGAGGTACTAGTAAAGCTACCCAGGGATATATAAATTTAAAATTTTATTCTCGGATAGATCGTAATGTTAACTTTGATATAAATGCACTAGTAGTGGATAGGGTCACTGAACGGTTGCCAACCGTTTCGGTTGACACCTCGGCAATGATTGAATTTAAAAATTTGACTCTAGCGGATGACACTTACGCCGTTCCTGGAAACATAGACATGCTCATTGGAGCATCGCTTTTCCCTCATCTTTTGTTAAACAATAAGGTCAGGGGCAACTCCTCGCATACCGCGCCTTACGCACTGGAAACGTTTTCGTTTCGTTTTTCGTCCGAGCGTCGAGTAATAGACACCCGTAATTCTGTTTTTAAAGTTATTAATTCGTTTCAAGCAAAATTCTTAGTTATTAAGCATTAATTTTCTTCTTACTGTGTTTAATTATCGTGTAGTATACAATATGTGAAATTCTAGTTCAATCAGTGTCCTCTGTCTGAAGATATTTAGGAAAAACTTTTAAAAATTATGTGTTAAACGGTCGTTTGTTAACCTTGTTTAGTAATCGGAGCGTGCAAGTGCTGATGTACTTCACATATAAAAAACATTAGTTCATTGACCTCATTTACATCGTCGGTAGCGTAAATATTAGTGTCTAATTTCGTCACCTAACATAACATAGACTGTAGCGCAGCAACAGAGCAAGTGTTAATACGCTGAGCGTCGTGGGTTCAAATCCAAGACAAATTTTTTTTTTGGTTTATTTAGTTTTTTTTTGTAGACAATTTGTATCATTAAATCATGGCTAACTTTGAATGTGCTGGGTGCCCTAACGCACTTGATAACTCCATGTCATTGCAATGTCACCGATGCAATGACAAATATCATGTAGCATGCACGCGAATCACAATGCAAGATTTTAACGTGATGAGCTCGGAAATGAAGAGTTTATGGATATGTGACGTTTGCAGGTGTAAACAACCAAGAGGTGATCATTCCAACACTCCAGTTCGAAACTCACCAGTGGAAATGGAATTCGTAACTCAACGTGTAAAAAGTCGTTCTAATTGCTCTTGTTTATCGACTAGTAATATACGTGAAATAATAAGAGAGGAATTGCGCAATATTTTTAGTAACGATTTACATCCTAAAATTCACGAAATAAAAAATACACTTGCCTCATTTGAAACTTCTTTGTCGTCGTTAAACCAAGATATAGATAAAATTAAATCCGATCATGCTAACCAATCTGCACAAATGCAACACATTACTAAGGAGAACGAAACTCTGCGTGCAGCTAACAAGAGTATCATAACTCGTCTTACGCAGCTTGAACAGCAGACATGAGCTTCAAATATTGAGATCCAATGTGTTCCAGAGAATAGACATGAGAATTTAGTTAACACAGTACAACAACTAAGCAATATCATAAAATGCCCTATAGCCCCAGAAAATATAAATTTTTGTGCAAGATTAGCGAAAATGAATACTAAAAGCCCTCGACCGAGATCGATATTAGTAAAGTTCAGTAGTCCAAGACTACGTGACGAATTTTTAGCAGCTACAATCAAATATAATAAAAAAAATAGTACGGATAAGCTTAACACTAGCCATTTGGGAATCGCAAGCGCGAACAATACTCCAATATACGTTGCTGAAAATCTTACGCCAGAGGGAAAAATCTTACATGCTGCAGCTCGCCGTAAGGCGAAAGAGCTCGGTTTCCGTTTTGTTTGGGTACATGATTTATTTATTTATTTATTTATTTATTTATTTGTTTAAAACACAACTTACAACTATCATTACAGGTTACTACCTAATTCGATAGTGAAGCACACATCAGTAAACATATATATACTTATAACAAATACCTACTTATAACAAATAACATATAATGCTATCCTTGTGAACTCATTTGGCGTACAAATAAAAATATCTGTCTCCTCTGCTACAAGGTTGAGAGTGCGAAGTGCCCGTGTCAGCGGCGCCTCGTTCAATAAATTAGTGCGACCACGAGGTACGGCCAGCAGGTGAGGCCGACGTCGTCGCCACACATATCTGTCCGGCACACACAAACACAGTAAACATAATATATCTGCGTGATGTACCTTACCCCTAATTAACTTAAATAAATATGACACAAGCGTGAGCTCCCGCCTGACTCGTAGTTCGTTGTATCCCACCATGCCCAACACAAACAAAGTTGGATACATAATAGGATAAAAAGGATACACTCCATATAGCCTAAAATATAAAAACCTAGTAAATTTGTTTTGTATCCGCTCCAACATGAGACTATATTTAGTCTCATGCGGAGCCCAGATGACTGCGTTGCATTCCAATTGGCTTCTCACTAAAGCGTTGTATAAGGCGATAATGGCTGCTACATTTGTGAAAGTACGAACAGTTCGTAAAAGGAACCCTAAATTTCTGTAAGCCTTTTTACAGCACTTAGTAATGTGATCACGAAACGTTAGCCCCGCGTTGAGAGTAACTCCTAAATCCTTAACTTCTGTGACCCGGACCATTGGCATTCCATCAATGTTGTAACTATGTACAATAGGCCTATGTGCACGTGAAAACGTGATTGTAGCACATTTTTTGATGTTGAACTGTAAAAGATTCTCCTTGCTCCAATTAGCTACACTATTAATGGCATTCTGTAACCGTCCACAGTCACTTTCTTCCTTCACAGTCAGAGATAACTTAAGGTCATCTGCAAACATTAAACAATTTGCCTCTTTAACGACTTTGGGCAAATCGTTCATCATGATTATAAATTGCAGAGGACCGAGATTACTTCCCTGACTTACACCAGACCACGTAAAATACGGCTCCGATCTGTGTCCCGCGTATTCTACGTACTGCTGCCTATCCCTCATATAACTGGCAAAAAAATTAAGTAGATGTGGTGTGAAACCAACAGCTGCTAACTTCTTGAGCAACACGTCATTATCGACTAGGTCAAATGCTTTTTTGTAGTCGAAGTAAGCAGCGTCAGTCTGCCCTCCACTATCCACTGTCGGCAGCAAGTGAGCCATGGAAAGATTTTTGTCAGAAAATGTGAAGGATCAAACTACATTCATATACGAAATCATGATACTGTCAATAATTTGTCATAGAGTGGCGCTAAATTCGCTAAACTGGTTTTTTTATTACATAAAGGCACTTTACAGAATAAAATTTCTATTTACTACCAAAATGTTCGTGGTCTAAGATCAAAAACAATTGATCTATTTAATAACATAGTCTGTAATTCAAACGATATTGTAATTATGACAGAAACGTGGTTAAATGGGAGTGTTTTCGATTCTGAAATTTTTGATGATCGTTATAATGTTTATAGGCGTGATCGGGAGAGTAGTGGTTTTCACGCTTCAAAGAATGGCGGGGGTGTACTTATAGCTGTATCTAAGCAAATAAAATAAAAAAGATCAAAAACAATTGATCTATTTAATAACATAGTCTGTAATTCAAACGATATTGTAATTATGACAGAAACGTGGTTAAATGGGAGTGTTTTCGATTCTGAAATTTTTGATGATCGTTATAATGTTTATAGGCGTGATCGGGAGAGTAGTGGTTTTCACGCTTCAAAGAATGGCGGGGGTGTACTTATAGCTGTATCTAAGCAAATAAATTCGGAGCGGCTCTTTAGTTTCGAGTCCAAGTGCGAGGATCTTTGGGTTTGCGTAGAAGTAGAAAACGTCCAAGGCAAGTCTGAAAGACTTTATATATGTGCTGTGTATATTCCCCCCACCCGTCCAAAAACACATTTTTGAGCATTTTATTAATAACTCGAGTCGAGTATTGGAATCACTCGATGAAAATATAATTGTTGCCGGAGATTTTAATCTAAGTAGTATAACATGGTCTTTAGAGCCCCACGGGCATCTTTGTGCAAATTACTCCAACAGCTATCTACAGAATCTCTTAACAGACTTTCTCTCGTGCAATGAATTGAACCAATTTAATCTAATTAAGAACTCAAAAAATAAAATGCTAGATCTTGTCTTGTCTAATACTAACATTGTTGATATTCTGTCATGTCCTGATCCTTTGACATGTGTTGATCCCCTTCATCCGCCATTAGTTTTTTCGATAGATTTTACTCACATAGAATTGAAAGGATACAAAAGAGATTTCTTTTGCATTTATCTTACGATCATAACCTAGTTAAAACTCTTAGAACTTACGAAGATAAGCTAAATTACTTTAAGCTTCAGCCACTTTCGAATCGAAGACAGCTCCTTGACCTTATTTTCTTGTATAAGTTGGTGAATGGCGTCATTGATAGTTCTTACTTACTAGCCAAATTAAATTTTCGTACCGCATTGAAGTCAAAAAGGCCGTCGTCTTATATACCATTCGTAGAAAAGAGCACACGTTCTCGTCAAGCGCGCTATTCTCCGATTAATAGACTGATGTTGAGTTTTAATGCTATATATAAATTATCACATAAGAATAGTATTGGTGCCATAATGACTAATGATAACAAAAATAAAGATAGAAAAGTTGATATTGACATATTTTCAGATAATCTTTGGAAATTTAAACGTGATTTATTACATTTATATTCCTCAAATAATTGTAATTCACAGTAAAATTATATTATTTTTCTTTAAGCTAAATTGTGATGAGGAAATGATTGTATATTATAATTTATTAATGATTTTATTTTTGTTATGTTTAACGTTCATAAAATTTCTAATGTTAATAACAATAGTGGAATATGCATGATTTAATTTAATTAATTATATAACACTAAATTCTGATATATTTATTGATCTCTTAATTTTTGTATTCAATTTAATTCACTGCATATGTTTTACTTGTGTCTATTTTTTTGTAATGAAATGTGTGTAACACCTATAATTAAGTCTACGCTTAGTTTTTATGATTTTTTGCAAAAAATATTATGCTTTTGTTAGTGTATGTCTTGTTGGTGTTAAATAAATAAATAAATAAATAAAAAAAAATAAATAGAAACCCTATTGGGCTATGTTATCGTTGGCTCCGCCCCCATCATAGATAGTATTTCGGCAACCTCTTATTGTGGTATGGCTGTCGAACCGCTCGAGTCGTTAGTCCGCAAATTTTGGGAGATGGAGGAGGTGAACGTACCACCCATAGCTAGCTCAGATGACATATTATGCGAGGAAATTTACGTCCGCACGACCGTTCGTGATCGCGACGGTAGATATAGTGTAGCGCTGCCCTTTAAAGGAGATGTTTTATCTCTCGGCGATTCACATCAAATGGCGGAAAAACATATCTACAGCTTGGAGCGTAGGATGCTCGCTTCACCCCAGTTAAAGGAAGCTTATGACGGCGTCATTAACGAATATATAAGAGAAGGTTACATATCACTCGTGGCTTCGAAATTAGATAACTACGAAGACACACCGTCGTATTTCATACCACACCACGGGGTCATTAGGGAGGACAAACTTACATCTAAGTTACGTGTAGTGCTCGACGCTAGTGCTAAAACTAGCACTCACCTGTCGCTTAACGATATCCTTTATAGTGGGCAAAATTTACAGGGCAGTTTATTTAATATAATAGCCAATTTTCGTTTGTTTAGTATAGCACTATCCGCCGATATTCGCCAAATGTTTCTTTGCATAGGGGTCCGTGAATGCGGCCGTAGATTCCAACGCATTTTATATCGTTTCAACCCAAAGGAACCTCTAATGGTGTTTGAATTTAACCGCGTTTGTTTTGGTTTAAAGTCGAGCCCATTACATGCGTTACGCACGGTGAAACAGCTCGCCCACGATGAAGGTCCCTCTTATCCTAAAGCTAAGAGGGCAATTGAGAGCGGTTTATATATGGATGATTTTGTATACTCGGTCGATAGCGTGGAGGAGGCTACCCTAACCACCGCCGAGGTTATAAAGCTCATGAAATCGGGTCAATTCCATCTTGTGAAGTGGACTAGTAATTCGCGTCCGGTTTTAGATACAATCCCACTATCACACCGTCTTTCGGCGATAAAGGAATTCGACGATTCTGATACACACAAGGTGCTCGGTCTGTGTTGGTCACCAGAGTCCGACGTGTTTAACCTTAAGGTAAATCCGCCCGTAGAAAAATGCACAAAGCGCACAATACTGTCATGCGTTGCTAGATTATGGGATGTCATGGGTTTCGTAGCTCCAGTGGTATTATACGCTAAGCTTTTGATTAAACAACTTTGGTTATTTGAATGCGATTGGGATGATTCGCCGCCTGACAGCATTGTTCGGTTGTGGCCGCATTTTAGAGAGGAACTTCCTTTACTAAGAGAAATTAAAATACCGCGTCATATAAACGTCGATAGAAATAGCGTCATAACGGTCGTT